CCCCAAAACCCCAAAACCCCGTTAGTTTAAAATAGCTATCACATTGGAGTGAGTATGATGAAAACTGATTGTTTTTATTGATTATTAAATTATAGAAATTAAAAATGTTTGCAGAGAAGCAAGAATAGGTTTCCCAACAGCTTCTAGATTCTCGGGAGTAGATACCTGACGAGGAATACTCAGATGAAGAGGGCGATGACCTAGATCTACTTAATAGACATTCACTGAACAGCAAAAGTCTACACAATTCGCAAGTTATCCATCACAATTAGAAACCAGATACTAAAGTTCAATATGAAACATTTGATTCCTCAATAGATGAGAGAAGAGATGAAAAAGTGGTATACAAGCTTATCCAGAGATGCGAGACCGAAGAACTTAAAAAACACCTCGAGGCAACTGCGGCAAAGTTTGAACTTACAGCTGTATATGACAGATCTGGGTATTCACCTCTGCATTATGCTGCTTTCAAGAATATAGATGAGATATGCACTACTCTATGCGATTACATTTTGAAAAGAAGACCTGCAAGTTAGCCAGCTAATGAATAACTAAAAGAAGAATAGATTTAACTGAACCAGCAAGCCTTGAAGGATTGGATTAATTCGCCATCTAAAGGAGAAGAGGGATTTACTTGCTTGCATTTCGCTACTTTTCATGGAAACATGCGTTTGATAAAGTATTTGGTCAGTTTGGGAGCTGACATTCACGCCAAAAATAAATAAGCGATTAATATGCTTCACGTTGCAGCTCAAGGAGATTAACCGGCTTCGTTGAATTACTTTTACGAGTCAGGAATAGACATCAATTCAAGAGATAAGAGGAACAGTACTCCTTTGCACTGGGCAGCATTCGCAGGGGCTGAATTATCTCTAAGTTATATCTTGGCTTGGGAAGCTGATATTGATAGTATCGACTCAAAAGGTTTGACTGCATTACATCTAGCAGTAAAGTCAAGTGAAGATATCGGCTCTACAAAGGGCATTAAACTGCTATTAGTCAAGGGAGCAAACAAGACAATCAAAGATAAATATGGACAAAAACCAATTGACTTGTTAGATAGCTTCAGCCAAAGTGACAAGAGCAAAAAATTAGCTCAAGAATTAACTACTTTACTTGTAAAATTAACGTTAGATTTCAATTAAATTTTTAGTAAGATCAAAGTAGTTATCTAGGAGACTGCTTTATGCTAAAGACATAGTTTAAAAAGACAGAGAAATCTTATAGAAATATCATTTTCTACTTTTTATCAATGACAATAAACTTTTCTTTGCTAGTCATTTTCGTTTACCCTCATTTGCAAAAAGATTAAGATTGGCAGCTGTATTCAAACTCATCACTCTTTGTTGCTTGTATGATCCTTTGGGTCGTAGCATGGCTAAAAAATCCTGGCTACCTTGAGAAAGATAAGGATATTTAGTTTATGGATCTGTTGGAGACGTTTGAGCCTAATTGCTTATGCCCAGATTGCAGACTGATTCGTACACCTAGAAGCAGACACTGCAATATCTGCAATAAATGCGTAGAGAGATTCGATCATCACTGTCCTTGGATTAACAACTGTGTCGGCAAACAGTAAGATTTGACCAATTTACATCTAACTTTCTAGGAACTACTCAGCTTTCTACTTCTTCGTGATTATCCAGTTTCTATTCTTAACCTCAGCAATGATACTTGGTGCAACTTGTAAATTTTAATATGTCTAATTAATCAATCCATAGATATCGTTCATCAATTAAACTAAGTTCCAGATACCTCAAAAAAATCTTTAGAAGAGGATCCAAATTAAATAACCAACAGAATCATCTGCATCATAGTAATACTATTTAGCTTTGGGTTCTTTATCCCATTATTGTAATGAATTCCCTGTTCAAACGTTTTAAATATAGCTTGCTATGCTTTGTCCAGACTAGCAATGTCCTCAGAGGCTAGACCACAAGTGAAAGGTTTGCTAAGCAAAAGAGGATAAAAAACATGAGTTTGTCCCTAACTGATACTCCAAGGAAGAAATATTCAGTTTTGGTCTTAGATCAAGATCCAGAAGTAGATTGCCTAACAAATTGTCGATAAATGATATGCAACAACTAAGTGCAAAACTAAAAAGAGCTGCTGATTGCTACAAAATAAGCTTATTAAAACAGAACTCCTGGGTTTGTATGATTGAGATATCTTGATATCAGACTGATAAGCTAGATCTATCATCTCACTTTATTTAACAATGTTAATTTATTCTAATAAAGTGATTCTTACATCATATTCTGAAAAGGATATATATTTACTCTATTTTAACTATTTTCTGTTATAAATTATGATAAAAGATATGTTGAATAGAGGGGTTTTGGGGTTTTGGGGTTTTGGGGTTTTGGGG